GGGGGGCTGTGGGGTCAGGGGGGGGGGGCTAGGAGCCAGGACTCCTGGGTTCTGTCCCCAGCTCTGGGAGGGAGTGGGGGCTGGTGGGTTAGAGCGGGGGGGCTAGGAGCCAGGACTCCTGGGTTCTGTCCCCAGCTCTGGGAGGGAGTGGGGGCTGGTGGGTTAGAGCGGGGGGGCTAGGAGCCAGGACTCCTGGGTTCTGTCCCCGGCTCTGGGAGGGAGTGGGGGCTGGTGGGTTGGAGCGGGGGGGCTGGGAGCCAGGACTCCTGGGTTCTCTCCCCATCTCTGGGAGGGGAGTGGGGTCCGGTGGGTTAGCAGGGTGCTGGTGGTGGGGGAAGGGGACTGGGAGCCAGGACTCCTGGGCTTTTCTATACCTGGCTGTGCCACTAACTTGCGGCGTAATCTTGGCGCAAGCTCCTTCTGTGCCCCCTGCCTCAGTTTCCCCTTGATACAGTGCTGATAATGCTGCTGCCAGGGCCTGGGATGGGAAGGGCAAAGGGAGGCCTAAGGTCTCTTGGGAATATTAGTGACACAACCTGCTTCCTCCCTGGCTCAGGCCCTGCGCGGACTCGGTGCCCACACGGACCGGAGCTGCCCCCAGAGGGAGATGCTCACACACACATTAGACCCGTTATTCCAATCCCATTGGTGGGGCTTACACGGCATAATGGGGAGGGTGGCAGGGGAGCTCCCCGCCCCCAGCAGAGAGGCCAAGGTCTCTGCTAAATCCATGGAGTTTCTTCAAATCTGCCCCACGACATGGTGTCTCCGGCTGCCTCTGGGCTGCCCCCCCCCCCCCCAGTGCTGGGATCTAAACGCCGCCTCAGGCTGCTTCGCTTAGCTCCACACTTTAATATTCTCGGGAGGGTTTGACGCTGTCTCTGAAATAGCAACAGCCACGACTGTCCCGTCGGGAAGGCGGCTCTGGGGCGGGACGGGGAAGTGCTGTAAGGTGCAGAGCCTGGGGTCCCCTGGAAACCTGGGCCGCTGTGGGTCGCAGTTTGGCGGAGCGAGGGGGCCGGTGTGGGCAGGTCGCTGCTCCCCAGAGCTGGGCGCTCACAGCCTCTCCACGTAGAAGGACTTCCCCCCATGGTTCAGCTCCCGCTGGTGCTGCAGGTGTTCGCAGTGTAGAAGGTAGCGCAGGGCCGCGCGCCGGACCTGGCAGGGAGGCCAAGAGCTGTGTGAGAAGCCAGGACCCCTCTGCCCTTCCCTGGCATCTGGCTGGTCCCATTGCCTGCTGCAGGGCAGGGTGGAAACCAGCCCACTCCCCCCCAGCAGGAAGGGGTCTAGCTCAGTGCCCCCCACCCTGTGGGCAGCAGCTGAGCCTGCAGGAGGGAGAGCCGTGGGCTGGGCCTGACCCTCCCCTCGCACTGCACCTCTGCTGACGCCACTGGGGGGACTGGGACCTGGTGCGATGGGCAGATCTGCAAAGGCAGCAGGGGGAGACGCTGGCTCCGGGGCATTTCCCCCTGTGACTTGGTCGAGCCGTATCCCTCCAAACGAAACACTCCCCGCCCCCTCGCCCCAATCCCGCTGCCCCTCACCCACGAGGAGCCCACTCCTGCCCTGCTGGGGCCAGAGGCTGGTGGTGCAAAGGGGACCCGGATGGAGCTGGCTGCGGCGATGCCCAGGGTGGGTGATCTCCCCTGGCGTCCCCTGCCCCGTTCTCACTGTGCAAAGCAGGAGAGGGTCAGCGCCCCGCTGCTCGCCCCAGCCGTACCATCAGCAGCGCCTTGTTCGCGAAGCGAAGCTCCTCTGCAACGCCAGCCCGCAGGTTCTGGCAGCCCGTCACCAGCCTCTTCTCCTCCTGCTTCTCCCTCTGGAGACAGAGGACACGGCCCCACTGCCAGCTGTGGGGACGAGAGGCCGAGGGAGGGAGGCACTGAGACAGGGCAGCCTTGGCAGCTCTCCCCGGCGCAGAGGGGAGTGAGTTACACGGAAACGCAGAACGAGGCTGAGGGGGACAGAACCAAACCCCTCACCCCCGGGCTGAGTTTTACACCATTGCCTGAGTCAGCACCTGGCTGCAGTGAGTCAGTGGAACCTCCCTGCCGCCTCCCCCGCCCCCGCAGGGCCCTCAAGCTGCCAGTCACAACGCACGTGACGCTTTCACTTTTGTTTCCTAACGTTCAGGTTCCTGGGCACTGAACGGCTGCGTAGTCCCCTGACGTGGGAGAGCCGGCTCCGTCCCTGCCGCTCTGCGTGCCTCAGTTTCCCCTCCCGCCTCGTCTTGTTTGTTTAGAGCACGAGGTCCGTGGGGCAGGGACTGTCTCTTGCTCTGTGTCTAGGCAGCTCCCAACACAACAGCCCCCCGCCCCTCCCCAGCCTGGAGACTGCTGGGCTGTAAATCACACCCTCAGCCTGGGTTTGGGGCTCCCCTCACATCTGGGGTTAGGGACATGACGCGATTGAGGAGAAAAGGGGCCTTTACTCTGGGCTGTGCGAAGCGGGTGGAAGCTGGGGGGTTTGCACCGGTGGGAAGGACAGGCCAGGAAGCGGGCGACTGGGGCCAGCTTAGCTCTGACTGTGCTGACCGCAAAGGGGGCTCTCCAGGGAAACAAGCCCTAGTGCTTGCAGCTCCCGCGATGGTCGCTCTGTGCTTGGGGGATAAACGTCCAAACAACCAAGGACGGTTCTCCAGGCCCCTGGCTCCCAGGCCCCCGCTGGGCTGCCCAGAGCCGCCCGGGGGGGGGGTGTCAAGTGGGGCAATTTGCCCCGGGCCCTGCAGGGGCCCCCATGAGAATATAGCTTTCAGAGTAGCAGCCGTGTTAGTCTGTATCCGCAAAAAGAACA